CTACTCTTAGGAGATTTACCTCGAGACGCGGCTTGCCTTCAGATATTTTCAGTGATAATGCTACAAATTTCAAATTGGCCAATAGAGTTTTGTTGGATTTTTAAAGGGAGTTAGATATTCAAAATTTCTGTGCTCAAAGAGGGATTAGGTGGCATTTTATTCCTTCCTCCGCTCCCAATTTTGGTGGACTTTGGCAGGCAGGTATTAAATCTGTTAAAAGTCATTTAATCAAAGTAACGAAGTCGGCCATTCTTAACTTTGAAGAATTGTATACGTTGCTTACTCAGATAGAAGCAATTTTGAATTCGAGACCACTTCTCCCCCTTGATTCCAACTTTGATTCTTATGAAACACTAACTCCTTCACATTTTTTTATTGGTTCCCCTATTCTAGCTATTCCAGATGAAGTTGTGGATAATTTAAGTCACATTTCCCGTTGGAAATGCATCCAATCAATGAAGAATAGTTTTTGGAAAAAATGGTCCCAAGACTATCTTAATTTTTACAAGCACGTCCAAGGTGGCATAAGACTCATCAAGATCTACAATCTGAACAGCTTGTACTCATGAAACAAGACTCCACACCTCCTCATCATTGGCCTCTGGCGCGAATCATCAAGATCTATAAAGGACCAGACGGACACGTGCGAGTCGTAGACCTTAAAACTCCAAAGAATGTACTCAGGCGTCCCATCACCAAGATAGCTCCTCTGCCATTCAAGGAGTGAATTTTATTCTTGTTGGACTTGGCTGTCCAACGGGGCGGGAGTATGTTTGGTTAAAAAATGTATTTGTCATTTATTGTAGTTATTGTTGGTCATTGTTTTACATAATTCTTTATTTTAATTTTAAGCTGTATATATGTAGTAATGTAGTGTTGTTGTATCTGTGTGTTGGATGAATGTAGTGTGGCATGTTGGTTTGCAGTCGTGGTGGACACAGTGATTGGAGTGGTTTCAGGCATGATTGGAATTACACAAAAGGACGAGGCATGTTGGATGGCACCATAGAGATGGCGAAAGAGTGAGTGTAGCCGGCGCCGGTAGGGGAGAGATCTGTCTAGAGGGGTCTGTCCATCATTGTGTCTCAAAGCAGACTAATCTGTTTGAGTAAGAAAGGGCACACCTAGGAACCCGACTTGTTTTTCTGACCTCTTTCCTCCTTCTGGCATCGACTGTCACTCACTCGAAATTTTATTTGTCACTTTGGCAATTACATTATACATTTATACAATACATGGAGACATAGATATATTGGAATATATTACAACAGTTTATGCCCCGGTTGATGAAAATTAGCTTATGGTGATTATAGATGAAATCATAAGATAATTAAAATTGGGGAAAATAATTTGTATACAAATTGGTTTAATATATTATGGGGCTGTAGAATTATAACATTGGGTATGCTTTCCTTAATAATAATGAACAACAATAAAAAGAGAAATGTTAACAAATAATAATGTTAAGCCCAATGTATAAAAATATATGAAAAAAAGATTTTTAAAAATGTAAAGATATAAATATAAATTTGGGTGATTATATACAGCATTGAATGTTGGAATTAATAATTGAAAGTGCATTGAATTATAGGGTGAGCTAATTTAAAAATTCTAGATAGGTGGATATAGAATAGATTCTGGTACTGCGATGCAATGCGACATTATGGGATTGTAGGCATTGGTCCATCTACAGTATGCTGAAGGTATTCGATATAGGCTGTTCTATCAGACGGATTTGGGAATAGGTGGAGGAAGCTTTGGTCGAGAAAAAGAGTGATAGAGAGTGTGGCAGAGAGAGAGAGTCGTTCTGACGCATAAAAAAAACGATTTGGCCGCGGTAAGGCAGTGAAAGTGAGGTGATCGAAAAAAAAAAAGAATTGCCCGAATGTGAGAAAAAAAAAGAAAAAGGGGCGATAATGCTCGAACCGGGCCGTGAATGAAAAAAAAAAACTCATCTAACTAGCTGCTCAAGTTCGACTGTTGGGAAGGTTACAGCGAAGAAGTGTTTGTAGTTAAGATGGAATAATTGTGAGAAATCAAAGTTTTGGCGGATAGTAACGATCTCGCTGAGATGCCATGAGAATTTGGTGGGTAATGGTGTGATACATTTTCTAAAATTTTAACTTAAAAATCTGAAAATAGGATTTAAAAATTGAAGTTGTGAAAAAAAAAATTAAAAATTGTGTGTGATGAATGTTGGTACAATAGTATAAAAAGTAAAAATGATTATAAACATTGAAGATTAAAAATATAAGTTATCATCTCGATTGTTCATATAAAAATAAAAAGACAAAAGTTAAAACAAAAAAAAACCTCGAAATATAATTGAAATAAATAATTAATAAATATGCGAAATATTAAAAAGAGTTATAGTATTTGAAATGATTAAAGATAGAAAAGTAATATGATATTAAAAGAAAGTAGCAATACTAAACATATTTTAAAGTAGGAAATATATATAACAGTTGGTGTTCAAGCCAAGACAATCTTTAAGTATACAGGGATTGACATTGATGTAGTTGATAGAACCTATGGTGATGTGTTAGTTGTGATGTGCTATATGTTTATGGCATGGGGAATTTAGTTAGCTCGGTGTTCATACGTCGATGTATTTCGACATAAGTTTTGCCTTAGTAAAAGTATTGTTCACGAAGTGTTAGGTTAAGATATGTTCTTTATGAGACTTGCGACGCGGACACGGTTTCGAGAGAGAGAAAGAAAAAAAAAAAGATAAAAGTGTCACAGGAAAAATGAAGGCATAATGTAGCCTGGTAAAAGTAAAAAAAAAATAGTGTTGTCGAGTCGCTGTGACACGTGCGAAAAAAAAATTGTAAATGGAAAGGCGTCACGTGAAATCGTTGTTTGGGTCAATAATCTAGCCTAATTCATCACGAACAACAAGTTTACTGAAGTCATAGGTGGTGGTTGTACGAACATAAAACGAGATTTTGTGAATGTTGGTGTTTAATTGTGAACGAGAGAGAAAAATTTTTCTAAGTGGGAAACGAGTGTAAATTTTACGTTTGAAATACATTGGCAGAGAGGACGTGTAGAAGTTGGCTGGCGGTGACCTAGCTTTTGAGGGAATTGAACGGTCCCGCGTTATATTTAACCTTTGTTGTTGAAGGAAAGATGGTTGATTAGTGATGATTTTGAAATTTTGTTAATTTATATTGGAAAATGGATTTTGAAAAAGTAGTGTTGATAAGGTAGCGAAAATCATCAATGGAATAAGGACATGGAAAGATAGTAATTTTTTTTTTATGATAAAAATTAAATTGAAGTTTTTATGATATGGAGATTTAAAAGTAAATGAAACTGAAATGGTTAAATTACTATAGGTTAACTGGCATATAATGAAGCATTATAGGTGATTGATAGACTTAGAATTTTATGATGTGAATATAATTATTTTCTTGAAATTTATATAAAATATGACCCAAGGAATAAAATGAAATTTGCATAAATGAAATGAAAAATGGATGTCAGTTAGTAGGGGCTAAAATATAAATGAAATAATTGTAATAAAAATATACTTGAAATTCGAATACTTGTAAATACAGGTTTAAAATAGGTTGTACTCACAGTACAAAAATGTTCTTTGGAGTGTAGTCCGAAAGTTCGTACTGGTTGATGTAGCCATGGTCACGTCCTTGGTGCTGGTTGGAGAAGGCGTGAGGGAGGAGAAGTTCTCGTCGTCAGGTGGATTGTGGATGTTTGCGTCGAGCACATTGGATTTGTAATGGCGAGTAGAATGCAAGTTTTGAGGCGATTGAAGATTGGCTATCTACCTAAGGCTTGGAAGCGGCGATGTCTTGGATGGTTTCCGCGAGTTGTGTCACGATGTCCGTGGCTGTGGGTGGCATGGTGGTGATCTCCGGCGTCGCTCTGTTCTCCAGGTTCCATCCTCTTTGCGTTGTCCTCGGTATATCCTGTCGACTATCTGTAGTAATGTATAGTTGTTGTATCTGTTGGATGAATGTAGTGTGGCATGTTGGTTTGCAGTCGTGGTGGCCACAGTGATTAGAGTGGTTTCATGCGTGATTGGAATTACACAAAAGGACGAGGCATGTAGGATGTCACCATAGAGATGGCGAGCGAGTGAGTGTAGCCGGCGCCGGTAGGGGAGAGATCTGTCTAGAGGGGTCTGTCCATCATTGTGTCTCAAAGCCGACTAATCTGTTTGAGTAAGAAAGGGCACACCTAGGAACCCGACTTGTTTTTCGGACCTCTTTCCTCCTTCTGGCATCGACTGTCACTCACTCGAAATTTTATTTGTCACTTTGGCAATCACATTATACATTTATACAATACATGGAGACATAGATATATTGGAATATATTACAACATATATATATAATGATTCAGCTACACTGTGTTTTATATATTTTTTTTGTTTTGCTTAGTTGTCAGTCAGTCTAGTTTAAATCAGCCATAAAATTCATTAATGTAGCTTATTCAAAGAGAAATAAATTCATAGGTTCCTGATCAATTTGCGTGGAGTTTCCTTTTATGCAAGTCTGCAGAACAAAGTCAAGTTTACTCATCGCTGTACCGTAGCGCATAGGGTTTGAGCTCGGTAGACCACGCGAACTACAGGTTGATTGTTCAATTAGAAAAGTAGTTTCAATGATATTGTAAAGTTAGAATATCGAAAAAGAGTTGATAGCAGTATTTTAAAAAAATCGAGCCAAGCAGGTGTTATATATCATTGAGATTGTTTATCATCATCGTTTGCTGTATAAATACTTTGTTTTAATTAAAATGAGTGGTATGCAAAAATAACTTGCGTTGTGTTTAAAATTTTAAATTAGATACATAATAATTGGCGACGAAGGTAAATCTTTTATTGTACTAAGTTAAAGCTTAACCGCATGAGTTTCTTTTCAACGACAAATTAAAATTTTATTTTAAGGTGAAATATCGACAATTTCTAACCTTTTGGATGAGGTATGAAAGGATGAATTATGAAGAGTAATGACGAACGGAAAAATAAAAGTGTCCAGGGATGGGAATCGAACCCACGACCTTCCGCTTACCGGGCAGATGTCATGTCCACTAGGCTACCCTGGACGTATTCGTCATTACTCTTCATAATTCATCCTTTCATACCTCATCCAAAAGGTTAGAAATTGTCGATATTTCACCTTAAAATAAAATTTTAATTTGTCGTTGAAAAGAAACTCATGCGGTTAAACTTGCAAGTGTCGTTTTACAATTACATGCCGCAGTGTATTATATTGTATTAAAAGCTTAGGTAAGTTGAATTTTATTTTAAAAATGGCAAATTTTGGAAATATAGAATCTTTTGATCCTAAAAATCCAGAGAAATGGATAACGTACTTGGAGAGAATGAATTTTTTCTTCCTGGCTAACTATATTGTAAAACTTGAAAGACGAAAGGCTATATTTCTTACGCTAATAGGCGCTGAAACTTATGCTATAGCAAGATCGTTGGCCTCGCCAAAAGAATTATCTTTCGTGGAATATGATGACTTAATTAAATTATTGACGGATCATTTTTGTCCTAAGCCAAATATAATAGTCCAAAGATTTTTGTTCAATAAAAGAAATCAGGGTGATGAATCAGTTAGTGCCTATGTTGCAGAGCTAAGAAAGTTAAGATTGTGAATTTATGGATTTGGAGGATCGATTGAGAGATAGACTGGTGTGTGGATTGAGAAAAGAATCAATAGTGAAAATATTATTATCTGAAAGTAATTTAACTTTTGAAAAGGCCTTAAACATTGTTATATGTGATGAATCGGCTAGTGCAGACGCCAGTGTTTTGCAAGAAAGGATTGCGGAGGTAAAATGATGAAAAAAACTAGCAAAACTGAACCACCTAAATTTAAATCGGGCAAAGTTCATTTTAAGGAATTCAAGAAAATGAATAATAAAATAATTATTTGCATACGTTGTAAAGGAAATCATATGCCAAATGTATGTAATTTCCGAAATGCTAATTGTTTTAAATGTGGCAAGATTGGTCATGTACAAAAAGCTTGCTTAACAAATGTTGGTAAATCTGGAAACCTATATAGGTCTAATAGTAATCCAACTTTATGTTGTCTGAGAATAGAAGAGATAAGCAATCCTTATTATATAACAGAAAATTTGGATAAACACGATGTACACATGTTAATTGACTCGGGAAGTGCATACTCATTATTAAATAAAGAAACTTTTCTTGAATATTGGATATTGACGCAACTTTGAAAATCTGAGATACTTCTAAATACATGGTCATCCAGTCAAGTAAAAATTTTTGGGAAACTCTATGTTAAATCAAGACTATCCCATGGTAGTAGTAGTTTACCAATTTTAGTGGCTGATGGATTAGGTCTCAACATTCTGCGAAGGCAATGGTTTTCAGCTTTTCGCCTGAAGTTAAACTTTTTAAATTCATTGGAAACTAATCCTATTTCACCTGTTTTCGAGGAATTGTTTAAGAAGGAAATTGATGTCTATAATGGGCCATTAATTCACATTGATATTCCTGATAGTGCTGAACCCAAATTTGTGAAGGCCAGAACCGTGCCGTTTGCTCTACGAAATTTAGTGGATGAAAAATTGAAAGTACTAGAGGAACAAGGTGTTATCGAACCGGCAAAATTTACTAAATGGGCTTCTCCAATTGTTACAGTTCTGAAGAATGATGGCTCCATAAGAATTTGCCACGATTATAATTCAACAGTTAATTTATATTCTAATCCTGATAAATATCCGTTGCCTACAATTCCGCAACTATCGGATAAGTTGAGAGGAGGCAAATTGTTTACTAAAGTAGATATGGCTCAAGCGTACCAGCAGTTTAGAGTTGATGAGGAATCTTCAGAAATCCTGGCTATTAATACACATAGAGGCTTATATAAGATGAAACGTCTACCTTTTGGTTTGAATTCTGCCGTTGGAACTTTCCAGAGGTTTATGGACACTCTTTTGAGTGGAATTGATGGAGTAGCGGTATATTTGGATGATGTCCTTATCGCAGGAAGTAATTATGAAGACTTAAAAAAGAAAACTGAAAAAGTTATTTTGCGTTTCAAAGAAGCAGGACTTCGGCTTAAAAGAGACAAATGCAAATTCTTCGTGTCTGAAATCGATTTTTTAGGACTAAAAATTGACTATAGAGGAGTTCATCCATCTGATGAAAAGCTAAGAGCTATTAAAGACGCTAGACCGCCATGTAATAAAAAAGAGTTAATGTCTTTCCTTGGACTTTTGAATTACTATGAAAGGTTTTTAAAAAACAAGTCCACAGTGGTTGAACCGCTTCATAGACTGTTGGATAGTAATTCACCTTGGAAATGGAGAAGAGAACACCAGAGATATTTTAATAAGGCTAAAGATTTGATTAGTTCTGAATCGGTGTTGGCTCTTTTTGATGACAATTTACCTATTTTAATCAACTGTGACGCATCAGAGTATGGCATTGGCGCCGTTTTGTCTCAAATACACCATGGAGTGGAAAAACCAGTTATGTTCGCCTCCCGGACTTTAAATAAAACCGAAAGAATATATGCAGTAATTGATAAAGAGGCATTAGCGGTTATTTTTGGTGTATCAAAATTTTCACAGTATCTTCTAGGGAGAAAATATAAAATATTAACTGATCATAAGCCCCTAGTTGGAATATTCAACCCAAAAAAGCCGATACCTCAAGTGCTATCGCCGCGCATGTTGAGATGGTGTTTGACTCTGGCTGCGTATACTTATACTATAGAGTATAAACCGGGAAAAGTAAATTGTAATGCCGATGCATTAAGTAGACTTCCTTTAAATGAATGTCCAAGTGTAGTTCCGAACCCTTCAGAGGTGTTTTCATAGAATCGGAGCATGCTGCAATTAATTCTTCGGAAGTGGCAAAACTAACTAGTAAAGATCCAATCCTTTCTAAGATTAAATTCTGGGCAATGAATGGGTGGCCTTAAAGGAGAGTTGATGATAAATTTAAAGATTTTGTCTTCAAATCTAATGAAATATCAGTTCATAAAGATTGTTTATTGTGGGGGAGCAAGGTGATTATACCTGAAAGATTAAGAAAGGATATTTTAAATCTGTTGCATGATACTCATATTGGCATAGTGGGGACAAAAGCGCTAGCTCGAGGATTATGCTAGTGGCCCGGAATGGATGAAGATATTGAACGGATGATATCCAGTTGTGCAGTTTGTTGGTCGTGTAGTCACGATCCGCCAAAAACTGACGTATATCCTTGGATTTGACCATCAAGACCATGGTCGAGACTACATATTGATCATGCGGGTCCTTTTCAAGGAAAACTTTTTCTGGTTGTATTAGATGCCTATTCTAAGTGGATTGAGGCTAAAATCGTATCTACAACATCTGAAACTACCATCAACAGTCTAAAAGAAATATTCGCGACGGTTGCCGGATGTGATAGTTTCAGATAATGGTACGTCCTTCACATCGGAACTTTTCAAGACTTTCTTAAAAAGAAATGGCGTAAGGCACATCTTGTGTGCGCCTTATCATGCAGCGTCAAATGGGCAGGTGGAGAGAGCTATTCAGACGCTTAAAAATCTGCTAAGAAAGAACAGCTCGGGAAATTGGACGACTAGGTTATCTAGATCTTTGTTATCGATGAGAATAGCGATAAACAGCACGACGCAAAAATCCCCAACTCAGTTGTTGATGAACAGAAACCTGAAGAGTCTCTTAAATAAATTTCATCCTTAAAGTGTGTCGGAGGGAAGGATGCGACAGAAAGACAGGTTTATAAGAAATTGGAAACCCCATAGAGTAGTAAATGAAGGACAGGCAGTCATAGCACGAGGGTACCATGGCCCCAGATGGCTACCAGGTGTAGTGCAAGAAAAACTGGTCCTGTTTCTATTAAGGTAGAGACAGATGACGGAGAAATTTTAAACCGGCATTTAGATCAAGTCAGAGTTTGTGGGAAAAGTGAAGCAACTCCGTCTACATCGTCAACTCCACAAGAGTCAACTAAAATTGAAGACCCTCAAGCTGGTCAGGAAATAGATCCTACTGGTGAAGCATCTGGTCCTATTTTGAGAAGGTCCTCAAGATTAAGAAGGCCTTCGAAGTTTTTTGAAATGTAATTTTTTGTTGTGGGGAGAAGTTGTTATATATTCACATTTTCATTGAGATTGTTTATCATCATCGTTTGCTGTATAAATACTTTGTTTTAATTAAAATGAGTGGTATGCAAAAATAACTTGCGTTGCGTTTAATATTTTAAATTAGATACATAATAGCAGGCCAAGAGCTAAACTTAGAGGAGTCCTTCTTTACCATGACAATGCAACACCGCACACCTCTTCCCAAACATTAGACTCTTTAGCCAACTCTTGTATCCAATTATTCACTCATACACCATTTTCACCAGAACTAGCATCTTGTGACATTTTTATTTCTAAAAGTTAATTTGTTGTTGAAAGGGATAAAATTTGACACTGATGATGAAGCACTGCAGCCTTTATCAATGCCATAAATTGAATCCTCGAAGATGACAGATGTAAGTGCTTCGTTGATTGGTTTTCACAGATGAAATATTGCATAGGTGCTAAGGGTGAATACTTTGAGAAACTCTGAAATTTGAAAGTTTCAGCTTTAAGAAAAATAACTGATTGCAAAACCTTTGGAATGACCCTTGGAGATACAATAATTAGGTGTCTAGGAAAGGTGAATTATCTCGGGGTTCTATAAATCAGAAGTTGACTCGATTCCTTTCACGTCTGCGACGTATTCTTGTGTGGTCAATTTTTGAACATGTACAGACGAGTGTTTTCACGGTGGGGAGACGACTTCGATACATATAAAATATGATGAGGTATGAAATGAAAAGGCAATAAAATGGTAGATATAAGTAAAGAGGAAATTAGAAAACAGAAGTAAAATTACATAAATACTACATTAAACTATAGATGAAAAATAAGAATATTGTAACAGTTTAAATGAGAATTTTATTAATCAATTGATACACTTTTTGTGAGTGATGTTTCCCTCACAACAAAACTAGAAACAAGAAATGAAAAATCAATTACAGAATTTACATATATTTCCTTATATAACATTAAACATAAAGT